AGTAGCTAGGCTTGTCCAGTGCTGGCGCTGTGCTGGGAACTGTACAGAAGTTCAGGACAGTTAGATTGGTCTAAAAATGGCCAATCTTATCTAAGGTAGACTATTTCAGAGGTAAGGTTAACTTCTGTACAGTTCACACTTTGATCAACCTAACTAGTGTAGGGTCCAGACCTGGGTGAACTAATTTATATCAGGTGGCCGTTTTAGTGCAATCTAACCTCCCCCTAGCCTCCCTCAACATCCATATGCACCCCAGGGCATCAGTCTCTCAGGTGAGCTGAAAAAAGGTACTTAATGAACAAAAGTTTGTCCAGTAGCATTCCCAGTTGTACAGATGGTCCAATAAAAGGCATCACAAAAATCTTTACATATTTACATCTCCTGGACAATAACAACTACAACAACACTCCAAACCTATTACAGATCCTGAGGCACTGATGGCAAGAAACCTTGATTACCAAGTTTCTATGCCTGCAACAGCTTGTGAATAAACTTAAGGTATAGCCTCCAAAATGCCTTCAGCATCAAAGCAAGCCAAGACATGTAACTAAATTTAAAGTTTTGTCTTCAAAATTTAAACCAGTAGATATTTAGTCACTTCCATCTCAAATGTTCTTAATGTGAGATCAATATCTTGTGAAGTTAATTAGAAAAATAAAGCTAAAACATTCAAGAAAACCCATCACCAAGAGATAAATTTTCACTTCTTCAGATGGGAATATTAGACTGTAATATTCCAAAGAAATAAATGCAGGTGCATGATTGTGATCTAAATGTATTGTTTTCATTGAAAGAACTGATGCTGAGCATTTTTTGTTTTTCTCTCTATATATAACAAATATATATAAATGTTCAACATTAGTTCTCTTAGTGAGATGCAGTGGCACTTGGATGCACATGTTGTGTACTGCAGAACTGTTCCATTATATAGTTTTTTCTCTTAAATGATAAACAATACTCTATAAATGCATTGTATATATGTCCCCCATTTTCCAGTTGCAACTACTATAGTACTGAATGAACCAACTTTATTCCAAAGAAATATCACAAAAAAATCTTGCCTCAGACATTTCCTGGACCATCACAGCTACAACACACTAGATCTACTACAATAATGACTGAAATTCCATCACTGCCCTAATTTCCATTTTTTATTTGTTCATAATTTTCTTAGAGATCTTTCTTACAGGTTGAAATTTCCCATGCTCTGTTTCTTTCCAGAAGTTATTTTAAAACATGTTTTATCAATCTGTAAAATTCAAACAATAGTTATTTTGTGGTAAGATAGTTATGAAAAATTATCATTTTTCTCATATGTTCTTTGCCACAGTTTTTCATTTATATAGAAAATGAGGTTAAAATTTATAGTGAAATGTGCTTCAGCAAATGGGACACAGTCCAGGCACTTGAGAGAGATGGGTTCTACTCTCAGCTTTGTCACAGAATTAGTAGGCCTTTTCTTTGTACCTTAGTTTCCCCATTTATACAAGAGAAATAGTGAGTTTTGAGATTCATTTATGAAAAGTACTATATAATAACCATTCTTTATAGTTACCAGTTTATTCCTTTTTTACTGCTATGCTTTCCAAACAGTGAAGTGGAACATTTGACATGCACAGATAAGGAAGCTTCTGTTAAGAGCCCTATGAGATTATTATATTTTTTTGTTGTCTACATT